CTAACAAAACCCAGTTGTTTACTGCAAACAACTACCGTAGTATGGTCAACATTCCTATATTAATGAATGGCAATCCTCTTACTGAGTCCTTCTCTTTACGTCTTCTTGGATTATCGCTTACTACTGACCTTTCATGGAAACCATATATATAATCAATTGCTAAATTAGCTTCTGCTAAGGTTGCTTTTCTTTATTGTGCTCGCCATTTCCTTACTTCTGATTCCATTCTCTACCTCTACAAATCTCTTATTCGTCCCTGTATGGAATTCTGTTGTCATATTTGGGCTGGTTCTTCTAACGATTCACTTTCTCTTCTTGACAAGGTCCAAAAACGCATTATAAATGATGTTGGACCTGGACTATCAGCTAAGCTTGAGCCTCTTTCCCATCGTCGTAAAGTTGCATCTCTTTCTCTTTTCTACAAATACTATCATGGTCACTGCTCAAAGGAGTTATCATCTCTAGTTCCATCAACTAAAATTCATTCTCGTTTTACTCGTCATTCAGCTAAGTCTCATTTGTTTACTGTATCTGTCCCTGCATGCTCTAAAAACTTTTATTCATCTAGTTTTTTTCCCCGCACTTCAATCCTTTGGAACTCTCTCCCATCTTTATGTTTTCCTGACTCATACAACCTTAAACTTTTCAAGTCTTCTGTCAACTGTTTCCTTGCTCTATAACTCTGTTCTTATTTTTCCTAGTAACTCCCAACTTAATAGTGGTTGCTTGCAGCCTTGTTGAGAGTGAGTGCAAATCATAAGTTAAAAAAAAAAAAAAAACTTCAGTCAACTTTTAAGAAAAACTATTTTGGTCAGCTAGTTTTTTGAGCTAACTTTTTATCAAAAAAAAAAATTTCTTCTTTAAAAAAATATTATTAAAAAAAATTATACTGTTCATTCATTAATATTAGTTTTAATGGGAATGAAGGTAACAAGTAAATTTGAACAAACATCACTTGTGATATTAGCATTGAAGAATCTAAATTAAAGAGATATAAAACTTATATTAACAAAAAAAAAGTCTTTTAAACTTTCATACTTTTTAAAAGTTTAAAGAACTATTTTAGAAAAAAAAAGACAGGAAAATAGGATCATCATGAACAGAGAAATAGGAGCATGAGTATGAAATAGGAGCATGATAATGACCTATTTATTTGTCTTTTTTTTTTCTAAAAATTTTTAACAACAAAATAGCAATCACCACATAATAGTACCAATACCAATTACCACATAATGGTACTATGTGGTGATTGGTATCAATTTTTACATTTTTTTACATTATATCTCTTTAATATTTACTCTTTTACAAATCTTTTAGATTTGAGAGTGTTAACCTTTTTTTGCACTACATTAATCTTAGAAAAACTTTCAATAAAAGTTAAATTGTAAGATTACAAGGAATAAATGTTATTATTATGATTAAGGTTAAATTAAAGTTTACACATGGAAAGTTTTTAATTTCTCGTTTTTTAGTTAGTTCGTTTGCGTCCGGCACAAATTGAATGGCTCGAAAGCAAACAAAACCTGGTCAAAACTTTTTTCCAATGAGCACTTAAATATCGAATTCGTTTTTTATAGTGATAAGTTATATCAAATTTTGCTATAATATGTTAAAAATAATTATTTAATATAATATACATAATAGTTATCTAACTATCGCAAATTATTATAAGAAAATGAGTATAAACAGTTTAAATAAATTTAGATAATTTTAAATAAGTTTAAATAATCACAATCAGTGCCGTGGCTAGTGACTTTAGGGCCCCCCCCAAACATTCCATTAGGGCCCCAAAGTTATTTTAAATGCGTTTAAATTGACATTTTTTTTTTTCAAAAAGCGCAAGGCGTATCTTTTATAATGCACCGAACATATTTTTAAGTAGTCGTTCACGAGAAAAAAAACAATAAAATTAACCCTGTAATTTAATTAAGTATATTTTATAATTGTTATATTTATTAAGAGTTTAAAACAAAAAGTTTCTTTGACTACTGTGAATGTATTAGGCATTCACAGGTCAAAAAAAAGGTTTGCGTCGTGTTTTCATACTTGCAAACTTATTTATTAAGCCTTCATAACTTAATTTCCTTGCTACCTCGTTCTCGATTGACAGCATTGCTAGGGAAGACAAACGTTCATCGACCATTGTTGACCTACATAAAGATACAAAGAAATATAGTTATATGTGTTTAGGTATAAGGAAGTAAGAGTATTTATACTGACCTATGAAATGTTTTAATTAATTTTAACTTGCTAAAGCTACGTTCTGCACTTGCAACAGTTACTGGAGAAGTAAGAATGATGCGTAACGCAATAACTAGATTAGGATAAGTTTCCTGCAGCTCTTCTTTGTAGACGTAGTTAAGGAAGTCATATGCAGATTTCAGGTTTGTATTTTTGTCCTCTTGTACAACTATGACAAATCGTTTCAACTCCATTTCCAAATCCTCAGAATCTATATCCCCGAGCTTCGTTTGCAAATTTGTGCAAAATACAGTAAGAGAATTTTCATTACAGGCTTTGATAAGACTCTCAGACCGGTAAAGAAAGTCAAAAAGATTTGTGAAGATACTGACCTGTTCAAAACGCTCCTTTACTGATGCAATTGACATGTCAATGAGTGGCAAAAAGAAATCTGCTTTATACTGATGCTCAGGTTGCCGAGTTTCATCAGCACACTCGTATGAATACATTTTTTTTTTTTTTCGTAAGCGCACTGTTGGAAAAATCTTTTCAATGCCCAATTCTCTTTTTTTGCATTTGATTCACAGATTAAACCATGACTTACATTTGACTTTGCATTTGAGTCATAGATTAACCCATCTGACTCTAGTCTAGTACCCAAATAATCACAATCAAAATTATTTGTTGATATCAAAACACTGCTAGCCGGAACTGCTGGTTTTAAAAAATGTGTTAGTTTGGGGTATTTCATGATTTTCTCCATGGCTGCAGCTTTTTCTCTTCTTTTAGTGGCACCACTTTTCACTTTTTTCATTCCAATAATTCCAAAATATTGTAAAAAACTAAGAATGAAAGATAATTATATTTTTTGCTAGGCATAAAACATAAGTAATAGAAATAATAGTAATAAAATAAACTTTACCGTGGTGAATTGGTAAACAGTTGAATTACCAGCAAATTATAGTTAATCAATAAATAACCTAATTAAAAATAATAAATTCGCTTGTAATCATAAAATAAGCGACATACTTGAAAATATATTTCCCCACGAAACGCTGTTTAATGGTTTCTCATTAGCGCGCTAGTAACATCAAACAAACCGCTAAATAACATCAGACAAACCGCTAAAATAACATCAGACAAACCGCTATAGTGGTTTCTCAAAAAACTTCTAACAAAACAAAAGAACTCGGAGTGTAAATTGTTTTTGCGTAAAAATGACTTTTGCTTTTTAGTACTTTTTAGCATGCATAACTTAGTTAATATAATGGTTAAAATGCAAATCTTTTTACTTCACTTAAACCCTTTTAAAGTTAAAAGATATTTTAACTTTTAAAAAGGGCCCCTAAAAATACTGGGCCCCCCCCCCAATTGGGGGGTTTGGGGGTGCCTAGCCACGGCTCTGATCACAATGAACTTAAAGTGACAACGCTTGATCTGCAGACATTATAATTAGCTGATGATTATCACTTATTTTAGTTTTGCTTGCTTGATTTTTAGAAAACATTTTAACAATGATTCTCAAAATCTGATTTTTCAGCACTTGATTTAGCACGTACAACAGCAGCTTTTGCTAACTCTTCAGTTGAATGGGTTTTAGCCAATCTAAAACAATACAGTCATTATTGTATAAAGTGTTTCCATTATGATAATGCAAATTTTTATTAGGGTTAATGAACTCATTTTTTTATGTGTTGAAATTATTCGCCCATAGCTCCACGCTTTTGTCAATTAGGCGGTTTTCCTTAGTACCATTTCTTAATTAAAATAATGCTTTGAAAAATGTAAAGCAAACTTTTACAAATTAATGCCCTTCCAACACTAAACTAAAATAACAAAACTTAACTAAAATAACAGGACCTTAAACAGAACTTAACTTAAAATAATAGGACTGAGTATTTTTACCATAAGTCTATCAATAGGAAAATTACCATAGAAGATTTAAAAACCCCTCCTACCTTTAACCACATTTAAGAGGGGATCTTATATTTGAATTTTTTTTTCCTATTTGTTTTACCTTCACCATGGCTAAAGAGCCTCTTCTGCTTTACCTATAGTTTTGTTAAATTTATTTTATTTAACTTGTTTTTTATATCATAGGTTTTTAAAAATAAACATAATGAATACTACTAAAGTTGAAATTACCTTGAAACTTTCCACCTTTTTGTTCTTAATGAATACTCTGTCCATTTTTTTTCTGGAATTTTAAAACTAAATTAGGTTCAGCATTTTTATTCTAGAATAACTCACCTTCTAACAAACGTACTTCTTGTTTAGTTAGTCTTGCAAAGTTACAATTATGATTAAAAATCTCTTTTGGACATGAGAGGAAGTCAAGGATAAAGGTCGATATAATTTTTTTTTCAAATTATATATCTCTCAAAAATTCAATTAGGCACTCCGGCCCTTTGAACTCCGTAGCTTTCCGGCACGTGCCCAGTGTGTCTGTTGGTTAAACTGGCACTGCCCTTAGAACAACATCAACATTAGGGAATGTGATTCAAGTTTTTTTGGTCACCGTATATCAATTAAAGTGGAAACAAAACATTTGAAATGCAGACATTTATTTGGAGCTTAAATCTCTGCATTTTTTTGTAGATTTGTAAAAGCTTGTAAGGGTGTACAATGTAATTGCAACAGAATCGATATCTGAAAGATGATCAAGAAATCCAAAACGAGAGATAAATAGAGCATAAGCTTTCTTTCATGAGAAGTCTACTAGCTTCTACTATCGTGTTTGGACGTTTTGTCATTGTTTAGTTCTTTTAAGACTACTTTGAAGTTAATACGCATATTTCAAATATACAAATTATGTATTTATATATTTGAAATATACAAATACATAATTATAGTATATAGTACTATTGACAAATAAGAACTTAAAAAAACTGATTCTGATAATTATACCCCATAACTAATAAAAACTTGGTTGTAGAGCAGAACACTAATTATGCTCATGCAAATCTCTAGCCTGTCAGTGACTTTTTTGAAACTTTACACCTTTTTCCAGTTTTAATACCAAGACTTCCAAGCGATACGTTAAAAGAGAAAGAAAGATATTCTGCTGTTTAAGATAGCCCAAGAAAGAAGCAGCTGCAACTCAAGACTCAGCAGCTGCAACATCAATTAGATTCAAAGAAAGGCCGGCGCCTAAATTAAATTCAGTTAGTGGATTTAACTAAAAAAATGAGCTTACAACCCAGTGTAGACCCCAAAAATATTGGAGGCATTATCAAACGACTACCCATGGTAACCACTAATGTTGATGCCGTTTATCTCTAATGTCTTTTTGACAAGTTTAAACAAATCAGCTGCCTCGTGACTTCTCATTGAAATGAATAATAAAAAAATTTCAAAAGGCACTACATACCAAAATCAAGAATGATAGAATAATATTTGGTAGCTTTACGTTTAAAAACTGTAGGAAAGAAATTTAACAATATAAAAAAATGCTGTTTCAAACCTTTCAAATGCTCTTTTAAAAGCAATTTCAAAGTGTATCAAAAAAAAATTTAAAAACAATTTTTAACTACCAATTATTTGTAAAAGCGAATCGCCAAGTTGTTGGATGAACTTTTCAAAAATGTTAGCTGATAGATAGGAAGTGCTACCTTTACCTTAGCTTACTTGAATGTTTAAATTTTTAGCTAAAAACGGGTTGTATTCAGCTAGTAACTTCTATAATGACATGATCCAATTTTCTGTTCTGATCCACAAAATGCTAACACAATTTTTTTATTCTGCATGTTCCGATGATTTTTCACTTATTATTTGAATTACTATACTTTTAAAAAAAAATTTAGAAAAAAAGATTTTTTTTTTTAAATTAGATCCGCCATTTCTTGTGTAAACAATCCAGCAGGCATTTTCTTTCTCAAATATATGTATACACGAAAATTACTTTTTTTAATAGATTCAAGATTTATAAATAGAATATAAATAGTAAATTGTGACTTATTTTAAAATCTTTACAATTCATTTGAAAAAAGTTTTTTTTTTAACTAATAAAAAAAATTGATTTTCTTTTTTTTTTTTAATTTTTTTTTATACATGTTTTATTTTACAACTACAAAGTATTTACACGTAACCAATCACAGATTGGCGGTAAAAAAATACAAGTATAAATATCATAAAAATAAAGTTCAAAATATACGAAGTAGATAAAAAAATAGTTGCATACAACTCCGTGACATGATATAAATAAATACTAAATACCAAATGTATATATAATAACGTGAAAATAACTACTAATTATATATATAATAACGTGAACGAAAAAAATAATCCGAAAAATATCTCTATATTCTTCCAATTTAAATAAAAAATACAATAAATAAAAATAAACCTGCTGACTTTTCGGAGGAGTGTTAAAATAGTTCACTATATGTTTATTTACCACATTCAAAATAATGTTTGTGTATAAATATAAAATTTGTGTAAAATTGATAAAAATAATTACTTGTTTGTAGTTATAGGAAGCTCACAGATGACAAGAATGATAAGTCATTCTTGTCATCGAGTACCTTTTTGTAGACGCGTAATACACATAAAAAATCAGTTTCATACGTGGTATATATGTATGTGTTACATATATACCTTGTTATTAATATATTATTTTTTTGTATCGATTTGTATTAAAAGTTAAGTTTTTTTTTTTAATTAGAATTTAAAAAATTCCTTATAGTTGTTTAATTTGGTTTTAGTTTTATTTTCAGAGAGTGTTCGTTGTTTAAGTTTATTAGTGATTCATTTCTGGAAATTTGTTAAATAAATAGGGACCACGATATGTAATTGAGAATTTTGAAAGTCTTTTTGTTTCAAACAAATTTTGAAAGTATTTTTGTTTCAAATCTTAAAGTTGCCTGTTGCTCTTGTATTGTATTTATTTATATTGTTTTTAAAATAATATTTTTTTGTTCTGTAAAATGTTCTGGAACCAGACTTAGTTTATATTTAAACATGAAAAGTATATTTTGGTAAATATTTATTTGAAATATATTTCGTGCGTTCATTTGTTCCACTTGGTAAAGGTTGAGCATGAGCAAATTTATTTTTATTGTATACTAGTCTCGAAGAGTGTTTTTGACGTACGTAAAGTGTTTCTAATTTAGACTGCCCCATGCTATATTGGCATACATGAGATAGCTATGTATGAATGAAAAGGAAACAAGTTTTAAACTTTTTTGTGACAAAAATGGTCTTGCCTTGTAGAGTAAACCTATGATCTTTGATCTTTTGTGTTTATGTAGTTTAGTGGGGTTTCCAGAAGATGTGTTCATCAATTAAAAATTCTAAAAACTTTGTATTCAGAGCTCTTTTGATAATTATGTTTTTTTTGTTTTTAGTTATGTTCTATTTTAATTGTTGGTAGTTTCAGGTGTATTTTTTTAGTTTGTTGATTAGAGCGAAATTGTATATATTTAGTTTTTTCTATATTGAGTGGCAGTTTGCTTGATTTAAACCATATATTATTTTTTTTTAGTTCAACATTTGTTTTTTTAAAGAAGTCTTTGATTGTCTTTAATGAGTAAAATAAGTTTGTGTTGTCGGCAAACATTATATTTTTAAAGATATTTTAAACAAAAGTTTCACGTTTGTCTCATTCTATCTTATAAAAAAAACACAATGCCGTGTTTCTATCTGTTTTTCTCTTTACAGCTTTCTACCATTTCATCACTAGACATTTTATTAGACATCATCATCCGTGCGATAAGGCACGGATGATGATGTCTAATAAAGCAACGTTCATTCGCCAAGTTCATTTGCCAATCAAAGATAAACGAAGTTTAATAGCTAATATTTGCAGCCGCTTATATTCGCAGCCGAAGTTTAAAAAATTACTATTTGCTATTCAATTAAAGAAAATACTATTCGCCGTCGCATTTAAAAACTTTTGGCACTATAAAATATAAAGCTTTTTAAAACCATTATTAAATTTTAAAACTAAAAACATTTAAAGAACTATTTTTTAAGTTAAGAGATTTTTTTGGGCTCTGAAAGAGCATAAAATCAAAGAACATAGCATTTTTGTTACCGTATTTCAAAATGCTATGACTAAACTTACATTTTTGTAAAGCGTTATACAAAATAAAAAAAAATTTAAATCCGTAATAACGACTAGCAAAGAAATATTGTGAAACGATTCATTCCAAATGAAGACTTTTGCAACAATCCATTAAAAAAAAACAATACAATACGGTCTGTTGTTGTCCTATCTGATAGTCACTCTTCAAGATTTGACAGTGATGTATTGACATTTTTAAGATGCACAAATATTAGACACTTTACCTGACAGAACTGGTGTTACCCAGTAGTTATTTAATCAATCAGAAATTGCACTCTGAGTACAGAAGTGATAAATCTGTACTTTATTCTTCGTTTATGATAATCAACAGAAAAGGCTTCATAAATATACTTGCAGAGTTATGGCCAGAGTGGACATCAAAACAAACAATCATAAATGCCGGTAAAAAATATGCCATTTTAATTGGAGGACGCAGTGTTAAGTGGATGCAGGAAGAAAAGTTTTTTGGAAACGGTTTCTTTAATCAAGGAAGACAAAGCCAAAAAGTAGAAAGCTTATAAAAAAAAATAATCTAAGAAACAACAACAAAATGAGACATTCTATAAATGTAAGGAAGAATGTACACGTGGAAAGAATGTTTGTGCAGCAACTAAGCTTCAAGCATGCTCATGTTGCCATGTTTTGAAATCTACTTGTTTTAAAGAATCATATTGAGGTGAAACAGACTTAAAACCAAATATGATTAAATCATTTTGTGAAGTAGGACCCAAAAAATGCCCTCAGTTTGAGTCTGATGAAGATAATGTTGAAAACTTCATTCCTATAACTGATTTTATCTAGAATACAACCTAGCATTCTCTATTCGCTGATTTTGGATTAAAGTTTACCTCAATCTTATTTTTATACTTTTTGTTTATAATTTTTTTTTTTAAGTTTGTAAATGCTTTTTAAAAAAAAAATTATAAAAAGTAATCACTTAAGTTTGTTATATAGTTTTTGATTTGGTACCTCAAAACGTTAGATGCAGCACCTCAAAACGTGAGGTACAGCACCTCAAAACGTGAGGTACAGCACCTCATAACGTTAGGTAAAGCACCTAAAAACGTTAGGTACAGCACCTCAAGATGCTAGGTAATTTATTAGATGATTTTAAGAAAATTGGATTTATTCTGTGCACGCATCTTTTTAGCACTGTTTTTGGAGTCTTGAGATAACATTTCCGATAAGGCTCAGCAAACTTATTTTTAGAAGAGCTTAAAATATTTAAAATTATTTTTAAAAATTGTGTTAATTGCAAATTCAGATTATTCAATGGTTTCAGAGTTTAATTTCCCCTGACATTGTGAGATCCCACTGCATTCTTAGGTCCTTTTACCTGTAGAGGATATTTTCTTTTATATTGAAAAGTACTACTCCTCCTCGCTTATTAATTTTACGTTCTAAAAAAAAACTTTAAAAAAAACAATTAAAACCTGGGAGGTGGAGATTAGAAATAGAGTTAAAAAATTCTTTCTTCTAAAACGACACTTTACCGGTTCACCGTCGTTCGGACGGCGAACCGGTATAATGCGAACTTTTTTGCAAACCAGAGTTCTATAGGTTGTTAATAATGTAATGTTTTTCATTTTCCGTTTGCCGTTAAATTGTTTATTTTACTATATATTCTATAGACTTCAAGCAGAATCATAAATTATTTTTAATTTAAAGAAATACAATCTAATTTAAATAAAATATATCAAATTACACTTTATTTAATTTAAATTAAAAAATTGACGAGCATACGTTTTTATAAATATCATAACTTTACCCAGATAACATGAACACAATAACATATACCCAGATAACATTGGCCCGTTATCAAAGTGTTTTATATCAGCTAGAAAAATTTCTTCGGCGTAAGGAACGTAGGAAATGCAATGTTTTAAATGTGCGTTGTGGTTTTCTGCGCTTAGCTGACTCAATAATTGAGTAAACAAAGCGCAGAAAAGCACAAAGCACATTTAAAACGTAGTTATGCTGTAGTAAATTTTCTAGAAAATCGAAAATTAACTGATCGAAAAAATGATTAGTATCGAAAAATAACTGACCGAAACTCATTTTAATGATTAAGATCGAAAATGTGGTTTTCAGATTACAGTATCGTCCACCATTTTTTTCGTCGCGTCCACAATTTTTTTCGTCGCGTCCACAATTATTTTCGTTTGTCCATAATTATTTTTAAATCAAAACACTTTATTTTTTAAAATTTTTGAAATCAAGAAAAAAATCCAAGTATAATTTAATCAAATAAATTCATTACGTTGAATTCCTTTTAACATCCACTCACGCATGTGAGAATAATAATTCTCAAAAGAATATTCGGTAAAACCTGAAAAAATCTCAGTAATAATTCTAATCATTTCTTGTGAATTGTTAGGCCGCGGTTGTGTTCCTTTAAATAAATTTTTAACCACGCCAAAAAACTCCTCGATAGGATTAAGTTGAGGACTGTAAGGTGGTAAAAACTGGATAGTACAACTACTTTCTCGGAATGCCGATTCTACTATTGATGAATGGTAAAATCGCGCATTATCCATTACTACAACATATCTGCGATCACTTAAAACTGGCCTTAAATCTTGTTCTATCCAGCCGTGCATGCTAGTGGTATTAAAAGCTCCAATCTTTAGTTTAAATCCAATACACCCTGTAACTGAAATAGCGCATATTAGGCTAACATTTCTTCCTCTCTGTGTGGGCACTGTAACAAACGGGGTGCTTCCTAATAATGCATATCCATAATGTCGTGAATCATGCAGATTGAACCCGGTTTCATCAATATAGACCAGATCTGAATTTCGCAGAAAAGAAACATGATTGCAAAACATAAACCTTGTTGCTATTACTTGAGCTGAATTTCTTGCAACAACGATCGATTTAAGCCTTTTACGGGTATATCCCATTTGTTTTAATTCTTTTTTGATTGTAGTTGTCGAGCATTTATGTTCTTCTGGCATTAACTCTGCAATGTCAATAGTGGTTAATGCATTATTTGCATTAATTAATAACTCGATTTCTCTCTTCTTTTCAATATTATTTCATGCAGCTCTGCCACGTTTTTTTGGTATTATATTTTGGTCTGCTTGAAGCTTTCGTATCCAGTTTTGTATTGTCCTAATTGAAAGACCTGTTGCATTTGCAATAGATCGACTTGATTCGTTGCCAATCAACATTCTTTTTATTGTAGCAATACTTTCTTCCGTTGCTGTTTTGTTTTTTGTTTGTTCAGCCATTTCGATATTTGGATTATTGAGTTGTTGTTAGTCATTATGCCTTAAAGTGTTTTGATTTAAAAATAATTATGGACAAACGAAAATAATTATGGACAAACGAAAATAATTGTGGACGCGACGAAAATAATTGTGGATGCGACGAAAATAGTTGTGGACGCGACAAAAATAATTGTGGACGCGACGAAAATAATTGTGGACGCGACGAAAATAATTGTGGACGATACTGTAATATCGAAAAGTTTTTATATCGAAATTCACAAATTTGGAACAATATCGAAAACAATAAAAACGGAATAAGATCGATAACTCATTTAACTGATTAAGATCGAAAATGTGATTTTCTGATTAATGTCGAAAAGTTTTTATATCGAAATTCACAAATGTGGAACAATATCGAAAACAATAAAAAAGGAATAAGATCGAAAACTCATTTTTATGATTAACATCGAAAATAAGATTTTCTGATTAATGTCGAAAACAATAAAATCAGAATAAGATCGAAAACTCATTTTAACGATTAACATCAAAAACGTTATTTTCCGATTAATGTCAAAAACAATAAAAACAAAATAAGATCGAAAATTTTTAATTGTCAAAAATTCTTTTTAATGATTAACATCAAAAATATGATTTTATGATCACACTTTTATTTTATAAAAAACTAGTACTAGGAAAAAATCTTAAGAAATTTTTAATACTAAGTCACTTTTCAAAAAGAAACTTATTTAAGAATTCGATGAATATTTCCTAACTTTTCACCTTCGCATCAGCTTAACAAAGTTAGCATTACCAACAATGGAGAACAGCAGTTTAAATGAACAGTTAATTTGCACGCGCAATAAAGAGTTTAATTTGCACGTCCGTTCGATTTAAAACTTAAAGTTTAAGAAACTTTTAAGAAACTCAATATTCTAATGTCGTCAGAAAACTTATCAAAAAATTATAATGAAACTGAAGGAGAAAGAAAAAATTCAAATGTGTTTTGGTCTGGTGATTTTGGATACACTAAAGATAAACTTTATAAAGACAAACTGCATCTTAAGTGTCGTTTTTTTACAAGAATGAACTGCGAAGGCAGAGCTTTTATTCATGAAAATAAACTTCAGGTAACAACTGTTCACAGTTGCAGTTCAAGAGAAACAGACTTTGAAGTGCTGCTTGCTAAAAGTACCATGAAGAAAAAGCAGAAGCAACATTTGAAGACCTGCGCTTAATTTTTCAAAATACTTTGAGTGAGTTTCCTGCAGTTGTTTCTGAATCTGTTAGTTTTCGTCAAATTATCCCAAGTCTTCAAAAAAGGAGAAGGCTAAATGAGCCTTTAAACCCAAAATCACCTAATGAAGCTGCTGAAGTTCTGAACGACAAAGAATGCCATCGCTAAGGAGACATTTTCTTGGGATCAGTTCCAGAATAGGATAACGTAGCATTGCTGTTTGGGCATATGCTAGTCATCAACAAGGCGAAATTGGCCAAAGTGTGTTTTGTTGATGGAGCATTTAAGTATTTATACGTATGCATTTAACTTTTTCAAAAAAATATATGTTCTAGAAGAACATATATTTATCTAGGGGGCTGTCCATTAATTACATCAACAAACTTTTGGCTATTTTTACATTACCCCCTCCCCCATGTCAACAATTTGTTAAATTTCCAGAGACACTTCTTTCCCCTATAAAATTACGTTAATTTTTGATAACCCTCCTCCCCTAAATAAAGACGCTGCGCTAAAAACGCAGGCAAATTTGTCTAAGGGTGAGGGGAGGATGTCAACTTTACTTGACCTCCTCCCCTCACCCTTAGCAAAAATTTTCAAAAAAATTTAGACACCCCCTTCCTTATTTTTTTTAACGTTATTAATGGACAGCCCGTAGACGAAAAAAGTGATATATTAAAAACGTTAGGTAGAACACTTTTATTTACAGTTGTAAATTATAGTTACATTTATTGTACTTCTAGCATGACACCACGCATGGAGGAAAGTAAGTAGTATCAGCTCTTGATATTTTCTGTTGAGTATTTAGCAGTACTTGAAGATCCAATTCCAGATGAGGATCAGATGAATTTTTATCCTGATAAACCTCACCTTTGGGGAATATCTGTTCCAGCTGTATGCGCTTTAATGACATCGAAATCCGAGGCTCTATACAAGCTTGTTTTTTCCAAAATAAACGAAGTTTTTGATTTCTCTCCAGTCACGATTATGTCAGATTTTTAACGAGGACTTCAGAGTGCTTTAAAAACAACTTGGAGTGAAAGCTTGGTGAATGGTTGCAGGTATAAGTTATTACTTTGTAATAACTTAGTTTCCAGTTTCTAAGTTATCCAGGTTTTTTCAGAGTTTGTTATCAATTAATGATCTCCTTTAAACCCTTATCTTTGGGTTTCATTTCGAAAATGCAATCACCAAGCAATTCTTGGTCTTCAGAGGGAATACCGCCACCAAATTGAAGTAAAGAAGAGGGCACGAAAAGTTTCAGCACTTTGTCTCCTTCCTGCAAACAAGATCTTGGTTGCTTGGGGATCTCAAGTTATTGAGATTGCACAATTTAGTCGCGAAATCAAAATCAAACTACTTGCTTTTAAAAGATATTTTGAGAGCTATTGGCTCAATATAGTGACCCCAGAAGGATTCAGTGTTTATGGCTTGAACCACAAAACCAATAACAATGCAGAGAGTCTCAATAGACGTTTGAAATCAAACACGGGTGATTGACATTTTTGATTGACATTTCTGATTGACAGGATTTTGGCAGTTTATGAAATTGCTTGACCAACATGTATTAGTCCATACAATTCAAGACCTTCAACAGCTTCCCTGCAATCAGCCAGTCCGCCGTGACCAACGCGACTATGGTGCAATTGAAAAAATGTGTTGTTTTGAGAAAAAACTTCGAGACGGAGTTTGGACAACTGAGAGATTCCTATCAACAGTATCATATCTCTTTCAAAACTTCAAAGTAGTGTAAGAAAATTCTCTGAGTTTTTGTATAACACTTCTTATTTATTAACCGTTATCAATTTTTTTACCAAACTAATTAGTTTAACTTTATGTGATAATATATTATTTTCCATGAAATATGGAAAATTGTATTTGAAGTTTTTAAATATTTTTAGTGCTTTGGATGAAAACTCAATGAAGGTTGGTGAGAGTCTTCCTTTGCCAACTTCTACTTCAACAGAGTCACCGAAGTGCGTTGTTTGTACCGTCAATGAACGAAATGCATTAGTAATGCCTTGCAGACATTTTTTGTTTTGTCAGCCCTGCATTCAACAAGTCCAAAAAAGCAACACAACTCATTGTCCCACTTGCCGAGGACCAATATCATCTATAATTGAACCTTTTCAATGATTCAGTAAAATTTTCCCTTTTACCTATATTTTAAAAACTAGAATGTCACACAATTGTTTAAATTTATTTAAAAAAAATTATTATATAAAAGCGGTATAATTTTTTTCCTATTGCTCCGCCTGGAATAAAAAATAATCAATAACGTCATTTTTTAGTTTACATAAATTACTTTAAATTCCATTTGGGCCTACAAGATTTTCCGTAAGTTGGCGTATTGTATTGGTTTCAGTTGAGCAAACCCCATATTACGTTAAGGATAAGTACTAAATAAATTCCATCACCCTAGAAACAATAGTCATTTACATGTTAAAGTTATTGTATAGATAAATGTAGCATAAAGTTCTACAGCTGCTTGTCTAGCAAAATTAAATAAGTTTCCTTGAAGCAAGTGACAGTATCAACAAAAGACTTATCGTGAGGGTTACTATGTTACGATTAGTACTTTCGTGTGCACAAGCGTGTTAGAAGCAACTTTTTGCTTTTAACTTTTTTTAACTAGGTTTTAACTTGTCTAGCTAGCTTTTAACTTGTTTAACTAGGTTAAAACTAAGAAGAAGAAAACGAGTGCTAAAACATTTTGGGCCGGGATCATAACTTGTTACAGTCAGCAAAAAAATATATAGAAATTAAACAAAAAACTATATAATTGGAAAGAGCTCGTCAAAAAATATGTGAAAACCATATGCTGAAAATATTTCCTTTCCAAGATATAACACCTTATAGATTATATAAAACGCAGACCCAGATTTTACAGACCAGCACAAAATAGCTATAAAAAAGGACTTTTCATCCATAATTTGCTTTATAATAAATATGTATTTTTTTTAAAGAGTTGCTATTGATATAAATTTTCTATTAAAAGCTAGTTTCTATTAAATTTATCACGTCCTTACTGTTGGTAGGGGTGGGGAAAGAGAGGAGATAATCGTGAGCGATTGACATCTTTTTTTTGACCAAATGCTCTTAGTTTCACGTTATAAAAATTAATTAGGATTTTCTATTCTTGACCACAATTTTTTCCGAAACGACCAATCTAACCTCAAAGTCTTTACGATATGGGCTTGTATATTTATAGAAGGTTATTGATTGTACTTTTAATAAAAAGTACAATCAATAACCTTCTATACATAAAATAAATTGTTAGAAGATTAGTAAATTTACTAATCTTCATATATTTTATTCACTAATAAATTTGGATAAATTTTCTTTTTTATAAAGTAAGTGTTTAATAGTTCTTTTTGGAATTTTATGTTTTGCTTACATAAACTTCATATATTTTATTCACTAATATATATACTAATAATTCTTCAAGTTAGTCGAGTTTCCTAAAAGGCCTTACAAAATTTTTTATGAATATAATTTGCGAATAATATATTAACAAGTATAATTGAACATGGGCTACGGCATGGGGGTATATCTACATTGGCTACGTCATGGGGGAGGGGTCAAGGAGGCATTTTCCCTCCCCCTCTATCAGAATTTGTAGTAAGGACGATTTTTTTTTTTATAAAGTAAGTGTTTAATTGTTCTTTTTGGAATTTTATATTTTGCTTACATAAAATGTTTAGCTAACATTCAAGGCAGTGCACAGTGGGCCAGCAGTGAGCAAAAATTAAAAAAATGAGCAAAACCAACCTTTAACAATTCAAAAAAATTTTAATCTTTTTTGAAAGTGAGTAACATGAAGAAAACTTAAATGGTTAAAATATTATGTTTTAGTAAATAGAATTATTGTTAAATTGATTTTATAATGTTAATATTGTTAAATTGATTTTATATGCAGTTATTAATTTTGATCACTTTTTCATGTTTCTGGCCCACTGTGCAGTGGGCCTAAAATCATTTTGTTAAAAAATCACTAAAGGGCAAATGTTTTAAAGCATTTAAACAAAGGCGAACTTTTTTATTATTTCCAAAAGATGTCACTAATATTTCTAAGATACAACACGTTATCTATGATAAAAACAACGTTATTGTTGAAATGATAAATAACATTATTTATAACTGCGTCACTTGGATTTGATTTACAATTTAAGCGGATAAAGAAGCTTGAAAATAAGTGAAGTTTGAACTGTATTTTATGAAGTGCACCACCACTTTTGTGAAATATTATGTTCATAGTTTTGTCGTTAACATGGATTTGTGAGTTTTATCATACTTCGCTTTAACGCGTTGCAACGCGTAAAATTAAAATATGATAAAGTTCGGGTATAATGTGATTCTTCGTTCACATTTCCATGTTAACGACAAAACTATTTGCATGATATTTCATAAAATTGGTGATGCACTTCATAAAATAAAGTTCAAATTTTACTTTTTTAGGGTTTGAGCTATTACTGAAAAATTTTCAGAATTTTTTTTGCTTATTTTTATAAGCTTAACGTCATGGCTCCCGGCCCTAAATGAGAAAAATGTTTCTTCTTAGATTTTTACATATATTCTTGATATTTATATATGTAAATGAATCTTTACTCTGACAGTTTGAAAAAGGTCTTTTTCTTTAACTTGAGTTAATTTTTGTATTTTAACAGTTTTTTTTACTCTTAACCCACCCAGCAAACATCAAACAGGCGGACCGATAACGGACCGCTGTCAGCACTTATGCCGTGCCGAAGGAACAACGGTCCGTCAGCGGCTAACCGATGATAAAGCCATAGCGGAATAGCATAGGATCTATAATAAGTTTTGACTAAGATTTGAATGCATTGTTATAAATATAATTATTTTTGTTTTTTTGTTTGAATAGAACGCACTTATCGTTAGCAAAAATATTTATATCTTTCAGCTCAAATTTTTACTCGTAAAAAAATGCAAATCCTGCCAATGCCTGGAAGACACATCAAATACCTTTTGACTTAGTACATAGGTATATAAAAAAAATACGAATTTATTATACTAAAATTCTCCTACCACCGAAAAACACTAACCCAACTGTAAATCATTAGGTCATACGTGGCAAGGCTTAAGCTCGGTGAACAAAAAGACTAATCAGAAGTTATAATAAAAATCATTTTAAAATTGCAATTTACAATTACAACATGAATATAAAAGTAACAATAATTTTTTTTTTAAACTAAAGCAAAATATAAAGTATATTTGCATCTATAGATTATTGCTTCACTTGCGTTTAGCGAACGTTTAAAAGATAAAATAGTTAATTTTCAACATATCTATAAGTTCAGTTTATTCTCATTTCAATCGAAAACTAAATATATTCAGGAAACCATGTGTTGAAAATTGATTTACGTTGCAGTCTGCAGACTTCTAACTTTCACCTAAAAACAGGCAATTTATATATAATGAAAATATTGAAACAGTCAAGTTTAGAGCTAATACAACAAAGATAAGAAACTAAGCCCTTAAAAACGTGTTCGTTTGAAATAGTCTGATCACCAGTTATTGACAAATAACTTCAGATACTAAGTGCATCTACATTGAATAAATATAAATTTAATTTTATTATTTAAGCATAATTTAAAACATTAAAAACAACAAAAACATTGTTTAAATTGAAAAGCTATGGAAATAACTTTAAAAAAAAGCTATATAAAAATAAAGTTATATTGCGTTCCTTTTTTAAAAAATAAAACTTCATATACAGTAACCTACCTGGTATACCTAATCCTATAAATATGCTTGAGGGGTTTATGAACAATAAAAAAAAAATTGTTATTTCATTAAAAAAAGTATCTTTAAATTTTAATTTAACAAATAAAATAGTATTTAAAAAAGAGATACTTATATGCCAGGTTGGAAGTAAAACCATAAAACCCACAGCAACTTAAGTACAATGGTGAACCTTTTGCAAAGCATAAGCCTTAGACACAAGTGCACATCTGAAAAAGAAAGAATCAGAGACAGAACACATCAATAAAAATATATTTTGATAAACTAAAAAATAGTTTGCACATTGAACATAGTTTTCACCATACAAAAAAAAAAAAAAAAAAAAAAAAAACATAACGCAATATAATATACTATAAAAATTCCTTGAAAAATATAAAAAGTCAAATAATTGATTGAAATAAAACGGTTTAGTAAATAAGTATATAATTTTTTTTAATAAATTATTTGTAAGCATATAGAGAGCAAATAAATATGTTTAAAGAAAATATGATTTAAATCCAGTTTGCAAATCAAACATCTATCTTATACCCATGGCAATATTTGGACCATGGTCAACATAATTCTATGAAATATAAATCTGGTTGAGGTAAACGGTTTCCTGTAAAGAAATAATATTAAATCATAAATGTAACATAAAATTACAAGCATGTTTGAACAGTATTCTTAAAGCAATCCTTTAAAATTTTGTTAGATTTTTATTCATCTGCTTCACCGGTTAAATACCAAGTTAATTTAGCTTTCCATCAATAACTTTATATTTTAAAGCTTATAGTTATATCTAAATTTAATATAATCAAACAAATCAAACAGTAGACAGACTCCAGAACTTATATTTTGGTTTTTTTTCAAAAATAACATTAAAATAATATCAAAATAATAAAATTAATCTTACTTTATTCTCTGGTAAGATTCAATATCACGATTCAAATTCTCATCTACAATCTCATAGACAAGAGGTTACTGTAAAAGGGAATGAATATGAAAAACATGGAAACAGTAATACTGATTGCACAAAAACTTTACTCTATTGAGTTTAAAAATTAAAATATTAAAAAATATATTAAATATTGTAAAATAAAGATAACAAACTTGTAAACAAAGATGCTTATTTTATTTAACAATGTTATTCATCTTCTGAACTAAAAAATGTCTCTTTATTTAATGGCATTGGAAAACTTGATGTAGGCATCACTTTTTTCTTGGCTTGTTTGTTTTTTTGGTCTAGTTTAACTTTTTGTCCGCCATTGCGGTCTGATGCACCACACAAAAAATGCACAACCTCATATTGAAAATCTGATTCAGTTGCTAAAGTTGTTGCAGGATTTCTTTTTACAGCTCCTAAAAAATAATTTAAGACTTTTATTTAACTATCTAGCAGGAAAACAAAAAATATATTTTTTAACTTAAATTCAGAAATATATAGATTTTTTTTTAAAGCTATTTATTAAAAAATTTTATTTATCTATTTATTAACTTTTTATTTATATATAGTTAATAAGTAAACTTTATTTATTTATCAACTATTTATTAACAAATAGATTAGTAATTACTAAATTAGACACAAGTAATTATTAAATTAGAGTGTAAAGTGTAAGTCTTTTAGACTTTGTTTTACAAAGTTACTTTCATTGTCATTTCTGGTAATACCAGACCAGTTAAGTTTACAGCAGAAGTTATTAGTGAATAACGCAAAGGACATTCTCCAGACAGCCTCCTTTACTTGCCACAACTATTACCTACAAAAAACATAGAAAAAACATCAGTAATATATAATATATATTACTGATGTTTTTTCTATGTTTTTTGTAGATAATAGCTGTGGCAAGTAAAGGAGGCCAGACTTTTTTTTTTGTGATACACCAGCTAGATCATTTATAAACGGAAATAAAGAAGGTAAAGCTTATTAATAAATCTTATGCATTATTTAATGGCATTAATTTGATATCTATTTTTTTTATTAATTTTTTTTTAAATATTCTTCAGTATATGATATACTAAAGAATATTTTTTTAAAATATTCTTCAGTATATAATATACTCAGATTTTGAAACAATTGATGATGTTAACAATGATGAACTAAAAAATGATTTGATGCAGTGGGCAGTTAAGTTTGCTATAACCGATGATAAGTTTGATATAACCTATAATACAGAATTATTTGGAAGGCGATATTACTTACTCTGAAATCTTGAAATCTGCCTATATCATCATGGAAAAGAGTTTTGCCTGATGCACTTCATGCTACAAGATCTCTATTATGTACTTCTACTAACTGTATCATTAGTTATCCTTTATAAAAGAAGATCATCATTTGGGTCTTCAATTCCTTCATGGCTTGTTAACCTTGGACCTGTACTTATAAAAAGAAATGCAATGCAAAGTAAATATGAAGATTCAGTAAATGAGGCTCAGCTCATTGAAGCAAATCCTCATTATGCCATTGTGAGATTTCCTAATGGTCATGAGACTACAGTGTCTACAAAACAGCTGGCTCCTATCGGAACAACTCCTATAGTACAAACATCAAATGACAATTTAGAAATAACAGCTATTGATAACTACCCCTTAACCCCTAATGGTAGCAATGAAACTCCGTTAGTCTCCGAAGAGGAACTAGAAAACAGAAGGAATCCTATAGAACAAAGTACTCTGCCTCCTCATAGATCTTCATGAATTTCTAAAGCACCAGAAAAACTCAACTTATAAAAACACCTGAACACTTTTAAGAGGAGGGTGAATGTTATGATAATATGAAATATGGAGAATAAATATAAATATATATGTTTTGTATGATATTCTATATACTTTATGTATTGTTTTATTTTGTTATAGACTAGTATAATTATAGCTCTTTTGAGCCAACATAATTAATATGGTTATTCTTTACAAACCTATATGTATATCTATACTTTATATCTATACCTATACTAAGTATAGATATAGATATAATATATAGTAATCTATACTTAGTATAGATATAGATATAATATATAAGTATAGATATAGATATAAATTATAAACATAGATATAAATATAATATATTATATAATATAAAGTATAGTATACTTTATATTATAATGCTTTATATTACTTTATAATTTCTAATATAGATATAGGTATAAAATCATGTAACTTTTAATATTTATAAGCAATAATTTTAGCTATATTTTAAAATATAAATTATAGATGTAGATTGAATATAAATTTATATGTATAACCTATATTGTAAGACTTACAAATAAAAAGACTAATTTGATTTTTTTTTAATACTACTTATTTATTACTTACTGTTTTACATAGACTATGTACTACAATATAAAATATAAAAATCGATCAAGTCTCATTGCGCTTGAAATGCTTACTTTTGGTGTTTTTACGACATCTTACCGTTATCTGGGGGCATTGTGTTGGCAAAACTACAGCGTATCGTAATAAACTTACTAAAGCTGGCATGCCAATTTAAAATCGCATTGGCAACCAGGTGTCTTATCGCTCTTCAGCCGATGGCGGAAGGCCAACACAAAATAGCATGTTTGCTGGGAAATTTCAGTCTAAAAAATTGTCTGGAAAAACGACAAAATCTGAATTTTTCTATTCTAGCTGTTGTGTAAACTATCTAACTTACATTTCGTCTGATGACTTTTCTGAAAAATGTTTACATAGAAAAAAACAGAGTTTCCATAAATCGCTAAACCAATTTATACAAAATGTCTAAACTACGAGATACGAGATGTCTAAACTATATACGTGTTGAAAGAACTGCTCTAAGAACTGCTCTAAGTCGGATCAGCTGTTCTAAGCTCTGATGAAAAACAATTTTTAAATAACTTTTTGAATGAGTTCGGAATTGACACTTAGCAATAATAGACAAAATTGTAGCAAGAACACCAAACAAGTCTTGGACGCTGAAAAGCAATTTAACCATAAAACCAAATCAAGAAAAAAATGTTAATAGTAATACAAAAGAGTCTTTGTGATCAAAATAAAAGATTAGTCGGTGTAATGTAAAAAGTAAAGAATTTTAAACTTTATTTATTTACTTTTTATTTTACTTGAATTTTTCTCTAAATATATATATTTATATATATATATGTATATATATATATATATATATATATATATATATATATATATATATATATATATATACATATATATATATATATATATATATATATATATATATATATATATATATATATATATATATATATATATATATATATATATATATATATATATATATATATATATATATATATATATATATATATATATACATACATAAACACACATTATTGTTGTTTAAAAAAATATGTCCTTCTCTTCATTTTTATTGATCTAAGTTTGATTATAAATGATAACAAAATGATCATAGATGAACATAATAGCAAGTAAATAACTATTTTTTCACCAAAATATTCGTTTAGATTTGGAAAATACACATTTTGTGCTTGCACTATTTGTTTAAACATATTATCAGGAACTGTATATTGTTCTTTTTCAAAGTCTTTGAAACACGGTGAAAAAAAGTCTATATACGGTTTGCTGCGTTCCGCTATAAAATTTGTTGAAAAATCTCGTTGTATTTTTTGAACAATCACCAGTGGTTCATTATCACGTTCGCTCACAATCGATGGTTGCATCCATGCTGCAACATCTTCCTTAACAAGGGCAGAAAATACGGTTCCATTACGCACCAGCCTGATTGTTTCATCGTAAGAATTGGCTAGTTTGATCTTTGCTTTGAAATCATAATTTGCAACTCTTTGCTCGTCGGAATCATTTAAAACCGCAACTGACTGGTTATAAAGGCTACTGGTCAAATCCCCAAAAATAGATTCAGTAATTAAAGCTGTCATTACGTTTAAAGAAAAAAGTCCTGCAAAAATAAATATTACCGATACAATTTTAGTGACGGATCTCTTAATGAATATATCACCGTAACCTACTGTTGTAATTGTAACAACACTCCACCAAATTCCTGTACCTACACCTTTATAAAACGATTTATTAAATCCGTCATTGTCACGATGTTCTGAAAGCCATACTAAAATTCCAAAAAAAACCGAAAAAAAAAATAATATTATAATTAATATGTAATTCGATTTAAAAGCTCTTGCAAGTTTGTTTATAAGGTAAATTTCTTTTTTTAAAACTATAAAAACCATGCTTGTTCCTTTGGAGAACTCTAGAGCTCTGTAGCTACTTTGGTAAACATGGTTTAATTCTCCAGTTGTGCTGTATGAAATAAAAGGTCCCCAGATACTCACTTCATCATTCAAAGATACTTGGTTGTTATAAATCTTAAAAGTTCCACGAGATAAAGCAACTTGTCTATATTCGACATTTATTGTGAAGCTGCGTTTTCTTTCGCAGTATGGTATTATCTTTTTCATATACATTTTAAGAATACCGTCCGTCATGTTCGATTTTTCAAAAATGTAAGGCGGTAAAGGCCAATAGTATACCTTAACTGATATTTCCGGTAAAGTTACAATAGAAGAAGTAAGACATGTTAACATTACAGCAAAAAAATACATGTTGTTTAAAAAGATATGCTACTTGCTAGCATAGTTACACAAAAAAAATATACTTTTTTAAAGTAAATATATACTAATATAATTTTTTTTAATAATTTAAAAACTAGCACAAAATAATTTCTTTTATTTTAAATAAAATATGAGCAAGGATGAACAAAAGTACGACAAGATGTCCTAATATGAAACTTTAAATGTCATATGTTTTATTTATAACAATTGTAACTAACCGCTAAACGATCGTTTGACGATCGGAATCATTCAAACACGTCGATTTTGTAAGCTAATTTATAATTTAAAAATTAATGTTTTCATAAAGCTATAAATAAAATATAAGAACATTTAACTTGTAAATATTTTTTACTTTTAACTATAATTTTTAAAATAGCATTTATTTATTTTTTGTATTTTGATACAATTTTATATATTTAATATTATTTTATTTTTATTGTTAATTTTTTTTTTTTCTATATATATTTTTACAACTGCATAGTATTTATAATGATAACTGCATATTATATATAATAGTTTTGGAATTTGTTTCAAAAATAAATTAAAATATTGTTCCTATTTATATTGAGATAAAATTAAAAATAAACAAGCTTTAGTTTTGTAGTTAAGGGAAATTTATTAAAAACCGTACAAAGTCATCAAAAATCCTTTTTTATTAATTTTATGAAATACTCATATCTGTTTTAATTCATAACTTTTACTTATACTTTTTACATACATACATACATACATACATACATACATACATACATACATACATACATACATACATACATACATACATACATACATACATACATACATACATACATACATACATACATACATACATACATACATACCAGGCTTTCCCAGGAAAGGCGTGCGGTCGCACGCCTTGTTTGTCCACGCATAGAATAAATTTTTCTGACTAACTGACCACGTTTTATTATTATGCGCTTCAAGAATTTGCGCCAAAACAAAGCTAAACGAAAATACCGCAAAAATGCAAGCAATCTTAAAGTAAATAAAAGAAATCTGTTTGTGCTTTCAAATTTAAAAATTAATGTATACTATTAAAAAAAAATTTACCTATATTTTATTTATTTTTTTGTTTTTGTTTTTTAGGGCGGTAGTTATTTTACCTATGAAAAATCAAATCAATAAAAAATATAAAATCAATAAGAAAAATCAAATCAAAAAGAAAAAGATTATTGTTTAATGAAAATAAAAGGACCTTTTAATGTAAAATTTGTTTATGACTTTTATCAGTTAGTAATACTTTAAAATTCACGATAGAACTTTAATTAATTTTTGAATGTTTCGTAAATACATTTAAATGTTTAAATGTATTGATACGCAAGAAAGCGCGAAAACGATTGCTATTTATTAGTAAAATGTGTTTTTTTTTTCAATTTTCAAACGAAAGAAAATTTTATTGTCAAACGACTGGGTTGTTTATTTTGCAATCATTAATTGACATTGTGAACAAGTGTTAATATATAATAATGTCCCGAAGGAACTGTTTTCGTAACAATAACAACAGAAGCAATGCAATTATTTTTTTAACTCCTTTCGTAATTACAAAATTAAGAAATTGAATAATTTCAACATAATAAAAGGCGAGCATTGACTCAGTATAATCAGTTTAGAATAAGTCGAGAGAGAACTTTTTTCACATTAAAATCCTAAATAATATATTTAATAATTAAAACAGCAATTTATTTTCTTGTCTAAGTATTGGGGAATAACGTCATCGCCTTTGCATAAACCTTCGTAAAAACTAAATTAAATGAAAAAATTTAATCAAATTTGTCTAGCGTAAATAATGAATCAGTTTTTTTAATACATTATCTGAAAAAGTTAGTGAATAAATTACGTATCAAGTCTTTTTATTTTCGTGAAAAACTTTATGATTTATTGTCGCCTTTTCCTTGACTTGTATCAAATTTCGTAGCTGAAAATAGCAACCCTAAAAAAAGAAAACAAAAACAGTATAAAAACTTTGAAAAAAATGTTCAGGACTTTTTTTTTTTTGTTACAAGATTTTTTTTTTTTTTTTAATTTTTTTTTTATTATCAAAATATTTTTCATATATCCAATTTCAATTTTATACTTTGTTTAGACTTCGTTTCCTTTTTTTAATATTAATTTTATTCTCTGTGGATAAGTTTCGCTTTCCCACAAAATATTGCCGCGGTCACGTTTTCTGAAAAATTTATTCTAAGCGTGGACAAATAAGGCGTGCGACCGCACGCCTTTTCTGGGTAAGCCTGATACATACATACATACATACATACATACATACATACATACATACATACATACATACATACATACATACATACATACATACATACATACATACATACATACATACATACATACATTCATACATACATACGTACATACATACATACATACATACGTATATATATATATATATATACATATATATATATATATATATATATATATATATATATATATATATATATATATATATATATATATATATATATATATATATATATATATATATATATATATATATATATATATATATATATATATATATAGTTTATTTGATTCCAATTATCCCAATAAATGAAATGGCTGCCAAAAAACTTATATATTGTCCTCTATTAGCTGGAGCCGTTATATCCCAGCGGGCACGAAAACGTCCATATGACGTCGAAAGGACGTCTTTTTAGGACGTCCAGAACTGGTTCTAAATGGCAACGCCAGATGACGTCTTTTTAAGACGTAATTAGGACGTCTTTTTAGGACGGAATAAAGACGTGTTTTGAGACGTCTAAAAGACGTGAATTTAGGACGTTCAGAACTAGTGCTAAATGGAAACGCCGAATAACGTCTTTAAA